AGATCCAGGGCCATCGCGGCCATGAGGTATGTGGAAAGCATTTTTTTTAATGAATGAGATAACCTTGTTTTAATGAGCACATGCAGTGTGAAGTGCACGCTACTGAACACCAGACTTGGAGGAGGAGAATGAGTGTGCAGGTGGACACTTCAGCCGTCCCTGGCAGTGAAGGTGGAGGCCAGCTGCCTGTCCTCATGTGGCTTGGCTCCACGGAAGACTCTTTCCTTCCCGGGAAGCAACAGCAAAAAGTAGCTGACGGGCTGGAGGCTGCACAAAGCCAGTGACAGGGAGTTTCATGAACTGATGGATGTGGTCACATCTATTTTCAAAGTGCCAGGACAGACACCTGCTATTGTTGCTTCCAACTAACCCCCCAAAAAGCATCTGGTAGTGTGATGCTTCCAGCTTTACTTTTACCATTTACGATTGCTTTAGCTATTCGGAGTCTCTGGTGTTTCCATTCAAATATTAGGATCATTTTTCTCTAGCTCTGAAAAAGAATATCCTAAATTTTTTTGTAGATAGCTACTGTGTGTTGCTATGGTTTGCAAAGGTCTATGATTAAAGGATTCACGGTACTCTGGGGACTCTTGCTCTCTGCTGCAGCCACTCCCCTGCCATGACCATCTGCCAGTGCCATGAGGTCCTCAGCAAGGCCTTGAACTGCCAACCCCATGAGCTGAATACACCTTCTCTCTGTAAGTTGGTTGTCACAGAAATTCTGCTCTAACAAAACAATGCTAACGCACACGCCTCGCCCTACAGCAGACTACAAACACAATGTCAGCGCCTTCCTCAAAATGCCCAGAGATAACAAGACAATGGACCAGGATCTGCAGGAGCCCAGAGAATACGATGCACAGCCCAAGATCCACATGCAAGTGCTTGAATCCCATCCACAATCACTCCTACACAAACACATTACACACACACAGCACCACTCCTATACAAACATACTAACACACACACCACCACTCCTACACAAACACACATATACACCACCACTCCTACTCAAACATACTAATATATACACCACCACTCCTACACACACACACATCACTCCTACACACTAACACATACCACCACTCCTACTCAAACATACATCACTCCTACACACAAACACACACCCCACTCCTATACAAACACACTAACACACACCACCACTCCTACACAAACATACTAACACACACACCACCACTCCTACACAAACACACATATACACCACCACTCCTACTCAAACATACTAATATATACACCACTCCTACACACACACACATCACTCCTACACACACACACACACACCACTCTTACACAAACACACTAACACATATACACCACTTCTACATAAATACACATACATAAACACCACTCCTACACAAACACTCACACACCACCACTCCTACACAAACCAAGGCATTAACTTCACATAGCACAGCTTGTCTGCCTCTGCAATGAAGAACTCTGGTACTACTTGACGAGTACCCTTTGCATTATGATACCAACAAATACACTCCCCCCAAAAAAGAAAAGGATTATGACAGCACCCACCATTTGACAGAGAGAAGTAACCTTAATGCAGATATCTAAACTTACAACAACTTGTTAAATAAACTATTTCCTCTAGTTGAACTATTCTCTAATTTGCACTTGCTGTAGTGTGTAAAACAAAGAAATTTCACAGCAGACTTTTTGATTCACTAAACACAAAACTAAGCTTTGCAAAAGGTGATATTCAACAAAATCTCTAATTTATTCAATCAAGAACCCCGTTTCCAGAAACTAACCAATGGATGATACGAAATCAGACAGCTGTTCAAAGTCGTGATTATGGAAAAAACTATGGCCATCGCTGATACACCTAATTCACCACAGTGATATATGGAGCTGTTATCAATTAATCTATTTAAGTTTTTCAGGAAAATAAGTAGGAAACCTTCCATGACAAGGAATTATACATTTCCGTTAGAAATTGAACTAATGAGCCCCATATGTTAAAGAAATAATTCATTTGTTTTCAAAACATTGCCAGTAAAGCTGCATGGGAGACATACTAGTTGAAGAACAGTGAAATTCCTTCTGTATGTCCCTGGTTTGTTATATTCACATCATTCAATATTTAACAGTTGTATATATTTGAAACATGTTTTCATGGATATATGTAATCAAATGGAATCATAATTGCTTCCCGCTTGCTTTGATTTGAATTAACTGCCCATCTAAATTACACAGAGGCCCTTCCTCATTCCAGTTCAGGTGCTGCATGCATTGCCTGCAAATGGCTACAGAAAACCACAAGGACAAATGCCTGACCTTGCTTCAAAGCTGCTCTTAAATGACTTTCCCATAAAATAAATGGCCAATTCCTCCAAGCTCTGCATCTTAGGTACTTATAAAAGCAACACAACTAGACAGAAAGGAGAGAGGAAAGCAAAAAGGGATCGTTTCTAATTTTAAAAAGAAACACATGCCTCACACCGTCCACTGGTCTATAAGAAATCATGCCAACTGTTTCATTTCATTCCCTTCCCATAAACATTGCATTTATTCTATAAAACTAACCTTGGGGCCTGAGCTCTTAGGCTCTCTCACGATCACTTTATAAAAGTGTTCTATGAACCAGCATACCCTCATAATGTGTTCTGAACTCTGAATTACAAAAACATTAGCAGTATACTTTTTAAACATTTGAAGCAATAATCCCATGTATTTCTGAAAACCTATGGTCTTCACAGACTGAGAAACCAGGAAAAGAAAAACAGAACACTGATCACAACCATGAGTGTGAAGCATGATCAGTGTTAGAATCAGTCAGCAGGCACACAGCTGACACTGACACACAGCGCACAGGAAGGACGCAGCCAGCCCCAGCAGCACAGCGGCGTGAGCCTCACGGCAATTCCTTCGTGTGCCAGCACACAGACAGGTGACCTTCCCAGGACTTCACTCTGACTTCATGGGCAACCTCAGAAAAAATTCACAAGTTTCACATTGTACATCATTCTGAAAATATATGCTATAGTTATGTTCTCTCCCTATGAAAGCCTGGTATGTCCACTCAGGGACTCACAGTAAAAGGCCAAATAGCAAATGAAGGTTTCAAATAATTTGTTAGTAAAGAGTCAAAACATCTTCAAAAACTTCATGTGCCACGCAAAAAAAGATAAAAAGCAAAGTTCAACTTAGAAGCATTCTCCAACTTTAGTATGTCATCACAGGAGTGACCAGAGAATAAGGAAGTGAACATAGGCACCAGTAAAGACATGTGTTTTCACACATGCAAGAGTACATGGAATACTTACTGCTGCAACTCCTCTAAGCACCATAACCCGGCAACTCCTTCTAAAGCATATCTTACTGCTTTTCAGCCTTTTGACCAAGATCAAGTGCAGAGCAAAAAATCCTGTGGGCGAGTGCTTGGCCTAGTGGCTAAGACATTGCCTGAGAACACACATTCCTCTCATGTGTGTCTATGTGTTCACCTAGATTCAAATCCTGGCTCTGGCTCATAATAATTTCAGCTTTTTGCAGCATATACCTGGGAATCAACAGGTGGATGACTGACTCAAAGTTCAAGTAATCGCATAACTGTGACTCCTAAGGCAAAGCTAGACAAAGTTCCAACCACTGGCTTTGGCCTGGTCCAATTGCAGTCATCACGGGCATTGTGGGAATAAATCAACTGAGAGCTCCCTGCTCATGAGTCTGTCTCTCCCTCTCTCTCTCACTCTGCTCTGAAATACACACAATGAGTAAATCTTCAAGGGCAGGCATATGGTACATGGTTAAGTACCTGCTTGGGCTGATGGCACCCACACTGGAATGCATGGATCAAGTTTCAGCTACTCCACTTCCGCTAACCCACACCCTGGCAGGCAGCAGGTTCAAGTGCTTGGGTCCCTGCTGCTCCTAAGCAACACCAGGATGGAATTCCAGACTTGGGGCTTCAGCCTGGGCCATCCCCGGCTCTTGCAGGTGCTTGAGGAGTAAACCAGATAACAGATCTGTGCGTCTCTGCATTTGAAATAAAATGAAAATTAAAATGAAAATGTATCTGGAGTATGTCTTGTCACTTGCTAAAGTGTTAGACCTGCAAGGAAACTGTGTCTGATGGGTCCAACAGTCTCTCTGTTACTAAAGAAATGCTACTGTTAGTAGTTAGGAATTTTATCTATTTTTAGAGGAATGTAAATTTAGGGAGGAAATTGTAGTAGTCCATTTAGTGTAGACTTTCCCAGATATTTTTTAAACTTTTTGGAGTCCATTTATTTTAAATTTTCTCATGTTCTATTTTACATATAAATAATAATTGATTTTAAAAATCTTCAGAAATCAATCCAGTTGTAAATTTCATTCAGAGTTAACACAGCCTAGGTTTCCTATGTGAGTGACAGAAGGCTAATGATCTGAGTACCACAAGTACCTCCCAGGTCTGCAGTAACACCAAGCAGAGTCAGGGGGTAGAACTGAGATTTGAACCAAGCAACACCAGAGTGAAAGTTAGGCAGCTTAAGCATGAGGCCCAATGCCCAACCCCAAACATGGGCTTGGAATCAAACTGACTTATCACCAGCTACAAGATCAGCCACTTGTTCAGTGAGCTTGAACTTACCTAATCCCTAAGCCCCAGTCGTTATGGTTACAAAATGCAGACACGAAAACTAGCTCAGTGAGTTGTAGAAAGAACGAAATGAGTTAATAGCACATAAAGTTCCGGAAACACTTAGTAACCAGTACATATTCAAGATCACGTTCTTTCAACTTTTTCACCCAATAATCTATTTGAACATAAACCACCTTTATTATAGATATATACCTGAATCTTACCATTCTATGTATGTGAATACAGACATCAAAAATAAAGGAAATTCTGCATAGCCAGGCTGTTTTTACCTAAGTCCATTTGGGCCACAGTAGTCCAAATGCAATAATATCAACAGATGAAGACACCATAGAAAATGCAATACTGTCAGATCAGACACAGAGACTGCGCGTCCACCCACCTTGGCTGGTTTTCCACAGGGAGGTTCTCTCCTCTCTGATAGCCACTGTCTGCCACTTGGGTTGTCGACCTCTTCACGATTTGCTTGAGCTCCTGCTCCAGGCGCTCCTTGATTGCCTTGACTGTCTCTGGAATCTTCTTCAGTTTGGCCAGTCCCTTGATAAGGACACCCATAAAAAGGGTGCTGTTCTCCTCTGGATCCAGTTCTAAATCTTCTTTAATGTCCTGCAGGTTTATGTCCTTTGCTGCAAATTTAAAAAATTAATCAGAAATAGTTCCCACTATAAAATTTGAAAACACAGCAGTCCAATAAATGGGATGACCGTTTTGATTACTCCCTTAAAAGAGCCAGAGAAGATTTTTCAATTAAATTAATTTGCATAGTAACCACCCAAGTGTCACAGCATTATATTTCTACTATCAAATTATACCCACCAGTTGGCAATAAGAGGTTGAAGCATTTAAAAATGAGTATGCAAAAGCAGTAAGTTTCCACAGAATTACTTCTGACATGAGTTCATGGGTCTGTGATATTTAAGCATTTACTGTTTATACAATGCCATTCATGGTGCTGCGGGAGAATTCTAAAGTGTCACCCATACGTCCAAGTCCCTATGTAGCAGTTAGCAATAATAAGCAACTAGAGAAAAACATAAATTATAAATCCCTACATAAGAGCGAAAGTTTAAAATTACAACAGATTTTTTTAAAAGCACATGAAATAAAGGGAAAACAGTATGAACAAGGGAGTAAAAAAAAAAAAAAAAAGAGTGATAAATTAGATACTTCACAAAGGACTGACTCCTTATCTCTACAAAAATGCTTGTACAAAGCATGACCTCCTGGAGGCAGATCTTGCTGGTGACCCATAAAGTCTTGAGATCTTTGGAGGACAGCTTTCATCCACACCAGTCACTCTGCGAGTGGAAGAAATAGTTTAGCCCAACCTTTCTCAGCACTGCAAATAACTGGGCAGGGCAGGGAGGGCCAGGATCAGAGACCTGTGTCTCCCACTGCAGGCCTAGGTCCTCTCCCCCACACAATACACACGGAACTCTGACCGTGAAGTCAGGAATTCTACACCTGACACACTGATCAAGTTACAAATTTCTTCTCTAAAAAGAACTCTTGCGCTCACAAATGGCTGGAATAAGACAGACAAAAGCAAACACATCAAAGTGCAAGTTTCAAGTTCTGCACATTAAAAGAAATGAAGCAAGACCAAGAAACAAAGCCTCAAGCAGGAAAGAAGCAGAGCAAATTCCGGAAGACAAAAGCTCTTTACCTGGGAGTCAGCAGCGGGACCCACAGTAAGGGTCCCTGGGCCTGCAGCCACCAGGCAGGTGACTGGCCAGTCATGAGGCCAGGGAGCCTAGCTCAGGAACATCATGGGCAGCCAAACAAGAAACAACAAAGGAGCAAGATGTGAATAATGAAATGCCACATCCTCAAATGGCCCATTTGTTTAGAATTTTATCTGTCTCCTGAAATCTCCTAGAGCATAAACATTGAACAGATCCAATATTAATCAATTTATATTATCTCTTTCACTCACATCTGTTGAAAATTAGAAGACAATTTAAAACGATAATATAATCAACCATGACTAGTTTAATAATCACAAAAGCCCTGTGAGGTCAGAAAGAATCATTGCTGCTTTGTGGGAAAAAAATCTACAAAAATAATTTAACTCAAAGTCAGAAAGGCTTCACCACCGTTAGGACTACAGGTGGGTATCTCCTCACTGGTGAGCCTCCCTCCATGCATCCTGCAACTCAGTGTGTGCACTGCAATACACTTTCAACATTAGAAATGACACACTTCCTAAAACACTGATTTTTGCCTCTCAGTATCTTGCCACATCAAGATTTGGCAAAGACGATTGTGAAGACTCACTGACAGATAAGCTTAAATGTGGAGGACTCTGATGCCCTCATCCAATTGTTCCCACTGCTCCCCACTGGCCTGCCCCGCTCCTTACACCTCAGCACACCACACACACCACATACACACACACACACACACACACACGCCTGCCCCCGCTCCTTACACCTCAGCACACCTCAGCACACCTCAGCACACCACACACACACACACACACACACACTGGCCTGCCCCACTCCTTACACCTCAGCACAGCACAGCGCGCGCGCGCACACACACACACACACACACACACACTGGCCTGCCCCACTCCTTACACCTCAGCACAGCACACCACACACACACACACACACACACACACACACACACACTGGCCTGCCCCACTCCTTACACCTCAGCACAACACACACACACACACACACACACACACACACACACACACACTGGCCTGCCCCACTCCTTACACCTCAGCACAACACACACACACACACACACACACACACACAGCTGCCCACCTACACACACACACACACACACACACACACACACACACACTGGCCTGCCCCACTCCTTACACCTCAGCTCAGCACAGCACAGCACACCACACACACACACACACACACACACACACACACACCTGCCCTGCTCCTTACACCCTGCTGGCCCACAGGTCCAGGAAGAGATTTAAAGAGCCAACAGCATCCTGCATGTGGGACCCAACTAAGCTGGGATGGGACTGGAAGGTCTACTTACGCATACCACCAACCCTCTATCCTCATCCATGTCTCCACGGAAGCACCCGGGCAGCTCCATACCTTGAATATTTCTCCCACCAGTGCAAAATTACTTTTTTTATGTCTTTTAGTCTAATTAATATACCCGCCAGAGCAGACTGAGAAAGGTGTCGAGGCACTGGTGAGACTCCGGAGGACAGAATCTTCATTAGGGTCTTTCAAATGTTAACTAACTACCCTGGAGTGTAGATTCCTGATTAAGGCACTTCAAAAATGTTAACTAAGCACCCCTAAGGTGCAGATTAAATTACTTTAAAGAAAACTACAGACGATGTAACACCCACTCCAGAAAGAGGCAGGCAAAGCCTGGTGCCAGCCGTGACAGGAGCTCCATTTCCACAAAGCCAGGAGCAGACCAGCTGTAGGGGGGGGGCTGCAGGGCGACACACTAGGTCGTTGGAGGAAACAGCGACAGCTTCAACTCAGAAGGGAGAAAGCTGCAGAGCTCAAAAACAATGAAGATCTCAGCAAAAAGGCAAATGGGTCAGAGGGAGGTTATGAAGGTCGGCCTTCCGTGCACAGGTAACACAAACATCTGCTCAATCACTTTGGCATCGGACAGCACTTACTGTGCGCTCCTCATTTACATCAAACACCAGCGGAGAAGACACACAGTGACAGACAGGGAACTTCAGAACAAACAGAACCCGACTGTGCTACGTTGGAATCCCTGGCCAGTACTGCCAGGCATGCACTCTCCCCTCGGTCATGTGATCACATCCACAGCACTGCCAGGCGTGCACTCTCCCCTGTGTCATGTGATCACATCCACAGCACTGCCAGGTGTGCACTCTCCCTCGCACCATGTGTCATGTGATCACATCCACAGCACTGCCAGGCGTGCACTCTCCCCTGTGTCATGTGATCACATCCACAGCACTGCCAGGCGTGCACTCTCCCTCGCACCATGTGTCATGTGATCACATCCACAGCACTGCCAGGCATGCACTCTCCCCTCTGTCATGTGATCACATCCACAGCACTGCCAGGCGTGCACTCTCCCCTCTGTCATGTGATCACATCCACAGCACTGCCAGGCATGCACTCTCCCTCGCACCATGTGTCATGTGATCACATCCACAGCACTGCCAGGAGTGTATTCTCCCCTGTGTCATGTAATCTTGCTGACCCTTGACTTCCACTCACTCACTGCCATATATTAAAAGAGGTAATAAGACTTCAAAAGCCAAAAGAAAGAAAATAGCAAAAGAAACGTGGTTTTAAACTTTCACATTTGGGACTTCGAAGGGTTAACAAAGGTGGGTCCTTGGGTTCCCACCTTTCAGTATATTCCCAAAACAATATACAGAACTACACCAACACCAGGTCCTTGAGGTAACACGACAACACAAAATGCCCAAAATCCAAAAGCACACACATAAAAATAAGCAAACACTAAAGTTCTCCTGTTCTTGCTAAGTCAAAAGGCTTTGTAGAGAGAAAAAGTAGAGAATAAAACCTATGACGGGGCCAGCACTGAGCAAAGACAGTTAAAGCTGCCACTGCACCACCAGCATCGCACTTGAGTGCTGGTTCAGGTACCAGCTTTTCCCCTTCTGATCCATATTAAAAATTCATGAGGAACAGATATAGGATTCAAGGCTGATCTTCAACTATCTGGGGACATGAAAAGCTGTCACAAACCAGAACTAAAAAACCAAGACAAAATAGAAATACGTAAAAAGTGACTAAAGCAGAAAAGAAATGCAGGAAGAGAGAGAAGGAGGGAGGGAAGGAGAGAGAGAAATACTGACTCGTGGGCAAGAGGAAGGTCCCTTCAGAGCACGGGGCAGGTGGAGGTGTGTGTACCCATCTCTTCAATGAAAACTAGTATCTTACAACAATTCACAAAGAAAAGCCTTCATATCAGTGTCTTCATGGTGAGAAACATTCATACCATTGCCACTAAAAACGAAAGAATGAGATGCAAGATTTAAATTTCCAACTCAAAAAAAAAAGAAGGTTGTAAAGACTAACAAAAACAGGGCAAACACTGTGATGTAGTGCAATAACCTACCACCTGCAATGCCAACGGTCCGCATCGTCGCTTCAGCCCCAGTTGCTCCACTTTCAATCCTGCTCCCTGCAATGCCTCGGGAAAGCAGCAGAGAAGCGCCCAAACACCGACGTCCTGCCAGTGACACGGCAGACAGGGAGCAAGTGCCTCACTCCTGGCTCCCGAGCGGCTTATCTCCAGCCACTACGGTCACCAGGAAGTAAATCAAGGAACGAAGACTTCTCGACTTCTCTCCCTTTATCTTTCTCTCCATCTCCATTATGTCTCTGAAATTCTCATTTCCAAATAAATAAGCGAGTTTTAATTTTAAAAAAAGGACTAGCAGGATAATGGCAAAGAAGGAAACATTAATAAAGACCCCAGCAGAAGGTAACTCCCTAGGTTGCCTTATAGGGAGGTGTTACTCTCAGGGGGAACAGCAGCCCACAGCTGGCATTCTGGGCCTGGTTAATGCTGAATTTGTATCAACCATACCAATATGCCAGTGTCGTTGCTTATTTTAATTTTTTTTCAGAGATATGTGGGAAAGACAGGCAACTCCAGGCCCCTG